TTCGTCTCCGTCGTATGAAAACTCTTGCATAGGCGCCATGAGGCGTGGCAGGTCGCGCTCGATCCCATTCCTCTTGAACACGTTGTTTGCACCTGAAAGGCAGAGCATCTTGACGTCCGAGTCCTTGACGTGCTGTTTCCGGAGTTTGGGACCTCGATGAGCGACGGCATAAGGGGTGGAGGCGCACACGCCGCTTCTAATGTTCAGTGTCGCGTTTATTCCACGTAAAGCCGTCGAGATCGAGCCATACGAGCGCTGAGAGCGCTATCGGGATCATGAGAATAACGTGCGGAGCGTGGCCTCGTCGTCTATCATGCCTAGCTGCAGGTGCTTGGGTAGGGGTGAAGTAGTGGAAAATATCAGTGCCTGCTGCCGGTACATTGGTGAGCGTGATGGCGTGGATCTCGAAGGACGTCATGGATGAGAGGAGAATGTCGTCGGGGCGAGCCTGGGGGTCCACGAGGAGAGAAGTGTCTTCCTCCAGGCTGGAGAGGCTCGTCCCCTCCCAGCCGCCCAGCGTGTGCGAGAAGACCGAGAAGAACTTGTCCAGAGGGTCCGACAGGACCTGCGGTATTGGCCGCAGTCTCGACCGGCTTCATCGCGGAGAACAGCAAGACCTCCCTGATATCTGAACATACGGTCAACGAGAGTGAAGAGGATCAGAAAAGAGATAAGCGTACTGGAAGGATCGGCCAGGAAAGTCAACGGACGGTCAGTACCGATGTCCACCCGCCCGCTGGCGGGAGAGAAGCTCCAGACTGTCATGAGATCATTAGATGGAGCGCAGTTACGGCAGGGGGGCGATACGCACGCGTCAACAAACGTCTCATCAATACCCTGCGCCCCGCCGTCGTCCTGTCCCTTCTGCATTGCCCGCTCCTTGAATCGCAGCCATTGCTCAAATGGATCGTCCAACTGGTGGTACTTGGCGAATGGCGACATGACCTGCGGGTGACCGACTGTCTAGCCTTCAGCAGCGCACTAGGGGCGTTTATGAGAATGTGCTTACCGATAAAGGCGGGGGAGATGCAGAGGCTCAATAAACTCGTCGACAAGCTGGCATTCGTCCGGGGTTCGTTGCAGCCGGTCTTATGCTACATAAGGTCGTTTGATTTTCGTGGTAATATCAACGAGTAAAAGGACAGACCTTCTGACATAGCCCATGCGGGGACCTGTTCGTCTCTTCCGTGCGCAGCGTCTCTACACCTTCCTGCTGCCCCTGCCCTCGAGGTAGAACGCCAGCGTCGTCTTCCTGCCAGTGAGGTGCTTCACAGCACCCTCGATCAGGCTCTCGGTGATGTCCATGACGTCGTACATGTCCTCGCAGACCGAGAACTCGGAGGCTGTGCGTCAGATCGAGGTCCTCGTTGCAGAAGACACGCCCGATCTCGTACACCGGGCCCAGACCGTCGACGGTAAGTTGCTCCAGATAGGGCTTAGATATGGAGGTACGCGTCGAGGTCGAGGTCGAGGTCGTTGTGGTGCGCGATGAACAGCTACGCGGTCGCACCACCAGCAATAATTAGCGTCTCGACCTCGAGGAAGTCAAGATCGTCGAAGGACCGACGGATTTAGTTGATTATACGACTGCGGGCGATGGAAGTGTGCCTTGTGTCTTCTTGAGAACGAGGCCCAGGTACTGTTTGTGGTACCAAGTTTCCTGGTCCTTGAGGCCGATCCGGTGGCTGGTGGAGGCTCGCAAATGGTTCTGAAGGAATGCTCGATCGAGAGTTCACCCTTCTTGATGTGTCCCAGGGTTCCAGCAGTACCGAAAATGTCACCACGGCGGAAGTGCTCATGCGGCGCGACGGAACCCTCTGGATTCTTGGTATCTATGACGAGTTATGTTTCCGTGAGCCTGCGGTGGTTGGAAAGATAAAATGAACCTACTGCCTGACCGCCATGGTCTACATCTTCTGGCACTTGCTGTAGAGACGCACGAGGATTGCGAATACGCCCACCGAGATATTCGACGGTACCGTCGATCTTGTCCCTGGGCCTGCATTCAGAATTATGTTTTTCGAG